GCAATCTAAGGTATGACTTCTATTATGGATAGCAACACTTCCATTACAAGGAAATCCTAGCAATTATTTTTTTAATAAATATTTTATTAATTTTCTAATTTTACAATCATGAGTACTTAATAAACAATATGTTGTCTGGGTCTATTGGTAATTCAGTGGTACATTTTAATTTTCTCAGTCTAGTTCCAATACTACACCATCCAGTGCTTCCTTGGGTCTTTCTTCTTCCAGTGGTATGCATTTTTCCACACTGGGCAAATACAATTCTGTTAATACATATACAATTAAATATAGACATTTTCATATTTTTTCTGGTATTATACATAATATTGATAGTGCTAGTTTATAATATCTTTTCTAGCCAGTTGTATTTGCATTTAAAATCCATTTGTTCAATCAATATCCTGTTTTTCCCGCTTTTTAAATTTTTTAATTTCTCATAAATGTTCAAAATATCTCTATCGCTTATAATTTTCTCATAATAAATTAGATTTGGGTAACCAAAATCTTCCCTTATTCAAACCCTTTTAAAATTTTCATATAATATTATATGAATATTATACAAAGTATAATGTTCAAGTTACAAATCGTATCCTAATTATAATACTTTTATTTCTAGCTTATCTTTTTCTTAACAGTATTCAAACATCTGTTTAATAATATAATATCCCATCTAATAGGTCAAAACCTCTATTTTCTTCAGTCTTATTCTAGCTTTCTTTCTTTGCCAAATAACTTTCCAAGTCAGTGCATTTGAATCATCAAGTAAATTCTTCCTCTGTTTTGGTATATATTGTTTGGAATGAGGGAGAGAATTTGACTGAAGTATTTTTGGAAGAACGCTCAACCCATTTATATTCATTAAACAGCCTCCATCCTTCTCCTTTAGTTTTTCTTTTCATTTCTTGTTTGTCAATATTCAGTATTTCTCCTAACAGCTTTATCATCCGTTCAATCAGCTCTTCTTCCTTATCCTCAAATGTGTTCTGGGATCTTGACAAGTAAGATATCTTTTCCATTTCTGGTGTTATCACTACATCTTCTGATTTTTCATTTGTCTTATCTGTTAATTCCTTCCTTTAGGTCCTCCATCTTTGAATCCATTTCTTCTAATTTCCCTTCTGTTTTCTGGGTTACTAGTTCCTTCTTTGTAAGTTTAGGTTAGAAAATTGTTCTTTTATCTCATTTGCATTATTTTTTATCTCATCATGAAATAAAACAATTGTCTCTTGGATTGATTTCAACATAGAAAGAATTTCTTTCTGAGTTTCATTTTCTTGCTTGTATTTCAAGCTGGGGGCTTTGGAGACAAGTGTTAAAAATGTTTTTTTTATCATTTGTGGCTAAGTATGGAAGACCCATTTTGTTTTTATATGTAGTCTTTATAGTCCAATGGGGTCCCCAACACAGTTAAGCAGCCCAAGAGTTTTTCCCCCTTTTTCCAGCTGCAATTTGTAAAAGTGAAAGTTTCCGGGAACAACAAAGAGTCTTATCTAAGTCCGGGCTTCAAGCCAAGTTTCCTTTAAGCATAATAAATTGTAGTGTTGTGATTTATCACTAGATGTCATTGACACCATCTTCCAGCTTTCCAAATCCAAGCCTATTTTACAGACTTTCAAATATTTTTCTTTAAAAAGTCTCAAAAGCACTTTTAGTTCTCAAATTTCAAAGCTATATATCTGTATTAATTCTAAATTGATCTTGTAGTTTTCTCTATTTTTCCCCAAAGAAAATAATTCACTGCTTTTCTTTTCCAGAGGGAGCGGGGAAAATACTTCCCTCTCTCATTGGGGAGGATTCTTTGCTTTGGGCATTCTATTTTTCCAGGTCATAAAAAGAAGATAAAGTCTCACCCAGTTCCATCCATGTTGCTCAAAATTTGCTAGTTAGTGCTTATCTTCAGTTGTCAGCAGCTTTTTACTGACCACACAAATGTAGCTAATCTTTCCCCCACTGGTTTGGAAGGCTTCCTCAGATCCAGAGGAAGGGCTGCCACTCCTCTGCGATCAACAAGGGTCCCCTCCTTCTTCGTCACCTCTCCGGGGCAACTTTCAACCCTTTTTAGGATCCCCAGTGGGGAGAAATAGAACATGGAAGACAGAGCCCCTTTTTCCTGCATCCGTTACTCTGCAACGCCTAACTGGAAGTCAATCCTAGCAATTATTGATTTGCTGAGGGTAGGATGTCAGAATAGTTAAGGCACACTCTGTATTACCTAAAAATGTAGCCCAAAAGCATTAATAATTAGAAAAACTTGGATAATTGTTGCTTCTAAAATTCAAACACAGAATATGTTTATCCAGTATTATAGAATAAGCTTACTGCTATATGGCATGCTTAGAGGAGATTCTATATCATACAATACAACCAGGAAACAAAAAATATGAGTTTTACAAAATGCAAATTCCCCAAACAAATTTACAAACCATCTACATTTAAAAAAGAAATAGTGTAAATATTTTCTTACACTATAGCCTAGTAAGGAAGTGAATACTTATCTTTATTGAAAAAACATAGTGGAACAAGTGCAGATTGAAATCACTTTGGGATGAAATATTTTACAAACATTATTTTATGAAAAGATAGATTTCAGCTTGTTCTCTTAATTCAATGCTGTTGTGCAATATAAATAATTGCATCCTATATTGCTGATAGTAAAGCATACTGATCACCTATCCATCCTTTTGTACTTCAGTACATTTCAAATGATACAGGGATTATCAGATGTTTAACGGATTTTGAATACCTTAATAGAAATATTGTTCAGGCTTTTTAAAATTCAGAAATCTGTAAATTTTAAATAAAAGGTCTGAATCCTTACTTAGTCCTGTATCATTGAAGACTACTAATATTAGATAGATCTGAAATTGTTCCTGACTGGAGTTCTTATAACAATATATTGGAAATGCTGCATTTTCATTCTTCTCCATAGGCTGTAACGCTACTATCAAAACCTATACAATTATAGGGTCCCCTATTGGGAGTGCATGCTGTTTTTTCACACAGTCAGTAGACAAGTCAATGAGTAGGAAAAAAAAATGATGAGGTAAAGAAAGAGGGTATGAGAGAAAAACTACAAATGTAAAAAAGGAAATTCAAGGAAAGGAAGAACAAAAGACAAATCTGAATCAAAAGTCAGAAAGTAAAATTATTGGAAAATGTATAGGAATGTTTTCTAACTAAAGACAAGAGGCTGTTTATGCTTTTCTTTTTTGGCAGTTTTTAATTTTTCTTATTTTGTGCTAGATGGCAGCATTATTTACATTATCGGTTATTTGCAAATGAAACTAATTATCCTCAATAAGCCCCCAGTGCAACTTCTTTTCCCTTGTGAGGTGACAGCACGCAAAATCTTTAAAGTACGTCTGCCCTGTCTAGTTGATTTTTTATGGCAATGATGACAAGGTTAGGAAGGCTAATTTTACTGTAATTGTTACATGGAGTAAGGATACAGTTTACTCTAAGCAAAATATATGTATTCAGATTCTAATGTCCTCTAATACTGATCTTTCTATTTATACCAGAAATAGTATTAAATTATGTAAGGCTCCTTTTTTAAAGATAGATTTAGTCTGCCTACTAAATACTTACTTATTATGATCTAAATATCTAAATAATTTACTATTTGTGGTCCTAAAGTATAACCTTTCATTAGGCTACTAGAAAATAATATTGAAAGAAAATTAACACTGCTTGGGTACTCTTGAAGGTGCCTTTTTCCTAACATATATATAAATAAAACAATAAAACAAATGAAACATACACTATATCAAAACATATACAGATTATATGCTATGTGGTATATTGAGAGATAATTGTAATAATAAGTGATGAGAGATTGGTTTCACTAAATTTGTGAATGAATTAATATCCGAATGTCTGTTTTACTAAATTCATTTCCATAATTTCTTTATTCTTGGAAAAAAGACCAGAAGCTGTAACAGGCACAAATTAAATCTTTTTTTCAGGATAGACTGCACTATCACTATTTCCTAATTCCTATCCATACTTGAATGCAAAGGATTACACTGCACATTTACAAAGGCATAAAAATGACATTAAAATTAATCTAGAATGGCAATATTATACGTGGAAATGATCTCGGAATTGTAGTAATCACAGGCTGAATAAAAGTTTGTGAGTGCCATGATGTTAAAAAAGTAAATGCAATTTTAGGTTGCATCATTGTAAACATTTCCCCCCAAATCATGGCAATTTATTTTAAATTTATTAGGACTTACTTCCAGTACTTTGCAAAGATTAAGGAAACTAGAATGTTTGAATTTGGGGTGAGGTGGGAAGAACATGAATATTTGGAGCCCTGTTGTAGAAAAAAATGTTCTCTTTTAGTCCCATGGGATATACAGTAGTCTTCCTAGTATAGGAAAGTAGGCAATGTTAGGAAACGTCTGGACTCTCCTTTACTAGATGTATTGAAATAATGGCTGGGGATCATCTTTGGGGATGCTTTAATACAGATTTTACAGAACAGAAGCTGGATTTGAGTGCCATAATGGTCCATTTGATATTTGATTCAATGGTGAGTCATGTTCAGCAAAAATTATTCTAAGCAGCCAAGCTGTTTAGTCTCTAACTTTTTCCTCTCAAGACTTGTGCTTTCTAACCTTGTTTGCTCAAATTTCCTTCCTTTTTTTAGTGCAACTATGATTTGCTATTAGATCAAATCAATCAAGTTATGTTTAATTAAATATAAAATCAGAATCTGAACACAGTTTCAAAGGTTAGTTAAGCCTGCCCAACTTGATACCCTCCCCATAAATTGGATTATGGCTTCCATCACTCCGATCAGCAAGGATTAAAATTATTCAGGAGGCTATTAACCCGATGCAATTCCGCAAGACCTTCTCAGTTGGACGGCGGAGACTCGCTCGGAGAGTTGGTTTCTTTAACTCAACAGAAACTCCGAGAAATCAGCGTCGAGGGTAGGGATCATTAGGCATGCCTAAGGGAGTGTCCCGGCCTTTAAAAGCAGCCTCTATTCGGGGGCGAGAGGCGGCGACGGTTTTCTCATAGCGAGCAGCTTCACTTGGCTCCTCCCCGCCTTTAGCCCTGTGTGTAGTGAGGAAGCAGTTTCTTTCGGAGACAAGGCGAAGCATCGCGGTTCTCAAGCTGGTTGGGTTGCTGCACCCACAGTTCTTCCTCGAGTCGAGGCACCTCCCAGACCCGCTAGGGGTTCTTCCTCCGGCAATTGGTGAAGTGCCGAGTCTGCTGCTCAATTCCGAGAGGGTGGCGAGGAGCAAACTTTCAGCATTGGCGTCGCTGTGGGCTGCTCGGCGGAGCCTCTTTAAAGAAAGCAAAGCGGACTAGCGGCGTCGATTCAGAAAGGGAAGGCGAGCGAGTCTCAGGTGCGGAAAAATGGGGCGGTGGGACTGTGGAGGCAAGCAAAATAACCCCTAAAGTAGGGAATTGGGAGGAACGATCCGCCGGGCGTATTCGGAAAGGACGCTATTTCGTTTCCGAAATTTGTCTCGCCTTCTACTCTCTCGGTCTTCTGGGGGTTGGCGTTCAGCTCCTCGTGAAACTTTGCCGTTAGGCGGAAATGGAAAATGGGTATGCATCCACCTAAGTGCCCGTGCGTGCGGTGCTCGTGCTTTGCATCAGGTTTTTCTCCACACAGGTGTGAAATCTCACTCCCCGCACGCTCCTGCTTTTTTTTTTTTATTTAAATCTGCGCAATAGGCGACCTGCGGTTACCGTTGGTTATTGACGAAGCTTGGAGTTTTTGCAGATCCGAGGATTCTCTCTTCCAGGTTGAATTTGAAGCAGAACCATTTGGAAAACGGGGGGGGGGATGTTAAAGAGCCCCGTCTGTTGATTTCTTTGCAATTGAGGAAAGAAGAAAAAGAAACAATGCGACAACGGATCGCGGCCTTTATTATTGGTTTTATTAAAGAATTTAAAGGAAGAAAGTTGAGAATTGGTGCTTGTGTTTTGCTAGCCTCTAGTATTGAATTATTCTTGAAAACATCTAAGAAGGATAGCTTCTGAAGATCCCATAATGGAAGGTAGTAAGAGAACAGGAAAATTAAGGGCTTTTATATCTAACGCTGGAGCTATCTCGGCATATCCCACAATGAGTAAAAGTCTGTGCTGAAATGGTTACGGTAGAATGTCATTACATCCTATAGAAATGTACATTGGTATCAGAAACAAAATAGGTTTAATCCCCCCCCCCAAGCAGCTAGATATGATGCTTCCTCAATAATAGATGTCATTGCTGAAAGATCTAGCATAAACTTCGTTGAACAGTTTTTTTATTATTTGATGTTATCTCTGTGAAAGTCTTTTATGACTCTTAAGGAGGTATGCAAATTTTCTGTTGATGCTTCTTGGGCCTAATGCAAAGTATACAAGATATATTAGTGTTGGTGATGTGTCTAGCTGCAGGCTCAAACTAAACTTGTCAATTATGGCTTTTTAAAAACTAGCAATATTTTTCACAGTGTTCTAGAAACAGCCATTGGTAGTTTTTTTTAAATTTTATCTAAATTTAATTTTGTCTAAATCTTAGCATTTTTTCCAATATACAGTAAACTACATCAGGGCTTTTCAACCTTCTCACCGATTGTACCACTTTTAGGATATGGCAATATTTGAGTACCACCTAGAAAGGTGTCAAAAACTTGATGACCAAAAAAAAAACCTGTTCAAAGTTGCAATTGCACTTAAATGACTTAAGACCATTTTCACACTTATAACCATTGCAGCATGCCCAGGGTCATGTGATTATATTTGGATGCTTGGCAACTGATTTACATTTATGATGGTCATAGTGTCCCAGGGTGATGTGATCCCCTTTTGCAACCTTTTGACAAGCAAAGTCAATGGCAGGGCTGCTGGCGGCCAAGTGCTAAGGCGGGACTTCCTTTCTTCCCTCCCTTCCCTGCCTCCCTTTTTCTCATGCCCACCTGAAGGAAGAATTTGAACCCCCCCCCATATTTTCTCTCTTCCATATATTCATCAAACAAGGAAAACCTCCAGAGATAAAAAAGACAAACTGCTGAGTGAACTAGCTTAAAAAGGCACATTTTCCTTTAAGAATTAGCTACTGGCTAGAAAGGAAAGTTGAGCGCAGCCGTCACTTAAGAAAAAAAAAATGTACTAAGTTTTGGCTGCGGGTAAGGCAGCCTCCCCAAATGGCTCCATTCATAACTAAAGGAATGCTACAGGCAAAATCCATTCAGGAGAAAAATACTGCAAAATCCCTTGCAGCAAAACTTACAGCTAACAATAGTAAAGCAATAGAAGCTAACATCAGACATCAGCCAAATAGAAATTGCCAAATACTCCTTAAGAACACAAGGCCCACATTGCACAAATCCCAGAACTTCAAAGTCACAAAAGTACATAAGAATCCTTCCACTCTCCATCTCCTTCCCTCCTCTGTGCCTCACCTCCAGCCATTGCTGCTTTTTTTCATTCCTCTTGGAGAGTGACCCCTCCCCCACTGCATTTCTTGCCTGTTTGCTGCTGCCAGCACAAGTGGCTGCTACAGCAGTTGTAGATCTGCTCATGGCTGGCCTGCTTGATTCCTCCTCTTCCTCCTGTGCAGCTAGAGTTGACTCTGCCTCCTCCCAAGGCTGCTGCTGCGCTCTCTCTCTCTCTCTCTCTCTCTCTCTCTCACCTGCCCAAACTGCCTCCTTTTATAGCCTCTTCTGTCTCTGCCCCCCTCCTCCTCCTCCTTTCTCATGGGGGAGGGTGAGCCAGAAGTAAGCCTGTGGCTTTTGCCTCCCCTCAGCCACTCTGCAGCTCCAGAAGACTCTCACAGTAAGTCCTTGCCTGTGCTGGCTCTTTCCCTCCCCCTCTACACTTGGCTAGGCAGGGCTGCGTACCACCTGCCACTCTTTAATGTACCACAAGTGATACATGTACCACCGGTTGAAAAGCCTTGAACTATATTACTTTTCTTTAACTTTCTCTAATTTGGTATCTAAGTATCACCACAGTGACATTAGCACAACATCTGTTAGAGTTGAACATGCCAGGGCTTTAACATAAGAATATACAAAAATGCTGTTATGTCAAATCTATCATCTATCTAGTCTAGCACTGGACTCTCACAGTGTTAAAGCCAGTGTCTGTAGCTGGTTTCTCTAATGAGATGTCCTATACTTTTTTTGAGTGACAAATGGTAAGAAGACTGTTAATGTGGAGACACAAACCACTTAAAACTAAAGGATGTTGTGATTTTTACCATATGAATGATGAAGTCAGGTCACAATAGAATAGGTGGATTGAGGTACAGCAGTGCATATGCTATATTCAGAAAGCTAAATTGGCTTTAGGGAGAACTCTTTAAAGGACTTTCAGAATGCAGTGGATGTGGGATTGTAAATATACTTATTTTCTTGATAGAGAAGGCTCCTGTTAAGCTAATAGCTATTACCACTTGTGCAAATAGCAATTGGATTTCTTAGATTTGCTCTACTTACTTATCCTACTAAAAATATATCTGGTAGTTAGAATGGCCTTAGAAGCAATCCTTGACTACGTGGTTTGAAAAATTGGATTAAGCATTTAGGATAGGAGTATCATCAGAGCTTCCCAGTTTGTGTTTCCCTATCTACTCCAGCAAAGAAAAAATATAAATGGAGCAAAGAAGCAAAATCATACTTCTGGTGGGGGAGGAGGTTATATGGATTTGTAAATCAGTTACTCCACTAATTTCTCTGCATATATATTTAACCTGTTTTGGATTAACAGATCTGAAGATGCTCTGGAATTCCTTGGTTTCATTGGGGATGCTGGTAAAATATTTGTAGGTATATTTTTATTAGTTTTGCCATGAGTCTGTTTGAATAAATAATCGTCTCTGCAATGAAATAGAGTCTATTTAAAATTAGTTTGGATTACTATAATGTAGTCTTTGTGGGATTGCATTTTAAACAAGATTGGAAACTTCAGTTGATACAAAACATAGCCACAAGAATGCTGGTAAACATAAAGTGTTGGAAATATGGCATATTATTTTTGTTTGATTGTATGGTTTTGTTCCCAATACCAGTTCAAAGCACCCTAAAGCCAAAATTGTCTGGCTTGATTGTCTGGCTCATCACCTGTTATCATGCTAGGTCCATATTATGCACGTGAGCATACATTGTCAAGGCATAGATTGGTCAGATTTGCTTCCCACAAGCAAAATTAATTGTGAATTGACAAGGAAGGTTAAAAATTGCTCTAGTAAGTCCCCCCAGCTTTTCTATCTTGCACTGTGCCCTCTGCCCCATTGTCTTCCTGCACTCATGCAGCATCACATTGCTCCGCCCAGCATCCTCCAACTCACCCATACCTGTGCCTGGCCACTATTACCACCACCATGTGGCATCCCCACACTTCATAGTTGAGGCTCCCACTGCTTCCTGCTTAATAACCTGCATTTCTTGGGGTTATGACAGCAATCAAACTGCTGAGATTGTCATTATCAAGCAATGCAGTTATGTGACATTGCCATTTACAATTGTATCCCTTAGTATTCCTGTATTGGAATAAATAGCAACAAGAACAATAAGTTACTGAAGTTTTTGTAAGAATTTCAGTATTAAGGTGGGATATATGAAGCATTCTGAATCTTCAGAATATGCTATATAAATGCTAGGTATTGTATCTATTAAATTATATGTATTAGTTTTCCATAGTTTGGTGCCTTCCAGATGTTAAAATCCTGGCTCCCATAATTCCCATCTGCTGTGCGGTTTTGGGGTTATGGGTCTGGGTGAGCACTCATTGAAACAAATGGAAATGTATCCATACATATAATGTCCAATACCTGCATAGTTCATGTAACTTAATTAAGGCTTGATAACAGATTGTTTATATAATAAATGAGTAAATTAACCTGTACAATGCCTCAAGATCCTGGCCATTTTGAATTTCATAGAAATTTTGAAACCGTTCTGTAGCGCTATTCTTTGTATTTCTCCACTGCGTCTCCCAACTTTATTTTCTTCGATTGATAAAACTAATTGCTTATATCTGCACGACATATTGTATATATGTGGTCTATTTCCAAATTCAACAGAAAGATTTATCACTTTTTCTTCACAAAATGTTAAGACTTCAAGCCTTGTCAGAATATATATAAATTTGCTGGGTTTAAATTTTATATATGATCTATCAGTGGGTTACTTGTACAATAATACAGTGCAGTGTGCTATGATAGCATATTGTACAATAATATGCTTTTTTAAAAAACAGAAGAAAGCATTAACACATAGAGATAGCATTTCCTCACTAGTGGTTTGTAGTATCTCGTAGTGTGACCCAACTATTGTTGCAATTTAAAGCATGTCCTCATACTATTTTAGCGGTACAATGAAGGCTGGATAACTCTTGAAGACACTAAAAA